AGAGCCGTCCGCCTCCCGGCCGCCCTCCGCGCCCCGCGCGCGCGCCCCCTCCGCCGCCGTGCCGGCCCCGCTCCTCCCCCGCGCCCCTCTGCCGCCGCCGCTCGCGCCGCCGCCGCTCGTGCTGCCCCTGCTCGACCCGCTGCCGCTCGACCCGCTGCCGCTCGAGCTGCCATCGCTCGAGCTGCCATCGCTCGAGCTGCTCTCCTCGGCGACGCCGGCCCAGCCTCGGGAGGATGGGTCCCCGCCCCTCGCGCCGCCGCCCTAAGGAAGAAACACCGCGACCGCCGCTCAAGAAGAGGGCAGCTGCCGGCACGCGGCGCCCCTCTCGCGTCGCGCGCCTCGTCGGCATCTCCGCACGCGGCGCGAGCGGCCTGTGCCATGAAGGCGGCAGAGTCAGGGCGGTGCGGGAGTCCGAGGGCGGTGGACGTGGCGCCGTGCAGCGGGGGTGCAGCGGGGGTGCAGCGGGGGTGCAGCGGGGTGCAGCGGGGTGCAGCGGGGTGCAGCGGGGTGTCAAACTGCTCGCGTGTCTGCTCGAGAGCCGGCCGCAAGACACGGGCTCGTACCCCCCCCCCCGCCCCGCATCTAGGCCTCGAGGTACGGGGAGGTAGGGGGAGATTTGGGGAGATGAATGCCGCATCTAGGCGTGAGCGGCGTCGCTGGCAGCTCCTGAGGCGCGCGCCGGAAGGTCTCCGCCGCGGGCCGACCCCTCCCTGCGGGCTGGCGCGGGCAGCGAGTGCCTAGGGCATGAGCGCAGGGTGTGTGGACACCAAGCCTATACATCTACAGCGAGTACAGGTGCAACGTGTGAGCGGGGCCCTCGCGAGGTCTCGAAACGACTCGGACTCGCCGACACAAACAGCGGCAGGCAACCGAACAGGGCTCCTCTACATCGGGTGTGCATGCTCCGCATCTAGGAGGAGATGCGGCGCGAGCGGCCCTAGCCGGTGCAGCCTCCCGTCCGAAGAAAGGGCGACCTAATCTCGCGCAATCTCGGCTGATCTCGGGTCGTCTCGAGCCCCCCGCGGTCCGAGGGGGGAGGGCGGGGACCAGCGACGGCGGCCCGGCGGCGTCGGCAAGGACAGCGGCGCCAGCCAACGGCACCGCCCCGCCCGCGCACGCCGTCGCCGACGCAGCGAGCGAGCGCATCAGCCGCCGCTGCGGGTCGAGTGACCAGGGCAGGGGGGGCGGCGAGACGAGCTCGGCGTACGAAGGGCCTGCGCCGACCCCCAGCAGCACGCCTCGACCCTCCTCGCCTCCTCCTCCTCCTCCTCCTCCTCCGCCGCCGCCGCCGCCGCCGCCGCTGCCTCCGCCGCCTCCTCTTCCGCCTCCTCTTCCGCCACCTCTGCCGCCGCCTCCTCTTCCGTCGCCGCCGCCTCCCACCCTGTCACACACCCACCCCGGCTCGCAGCCGCCGTCTACTGGGAAAGCCCAGGCACGGCCCGTGCCTCGCTCGACAAACTCGACGGAGAGGGCATCGGCCGCGAAGCCAAGGAGGCCGCGCGGCTCCGGCCAACCGCCTAGGAGCCTACGGTGCGAGCACGCCACAGTGTCGGGGCGGGAGCACGGCCCCGCGCCGTCTGCTACGCGCCGTCTGCTAAGAGCACCGCGCGCATCCGCGGGCTCCGAAGGCGGCGAACACAGCAGACTACGGCTGGACCCGCGCACTAGCTGGAAGACAAGGAGGCGTGTGCGGCTTCTAGGCCCAGGACCAGCAGCGCTGACACTGAAGAAGAGACCCTCGGGGCGAGGCCGTGGCCGCGGCTCGGCCAAAGCTGCCGGCAGTCGGCGGCAGGTTCCACTGCTGCCGTGGCGCGCGCAAGCAGCGCACGTCGTAGAGGAGGAGAGAGTGCGGCGAGGCTAGGGCGACGAGGCCGCCCGCGCCGGCGCCGAGGCTGCCTCCGTACCCGCGCGCGGGCGGCGGCGTCGCCATGGCACAGAGGCCGTCCAGCTGCCTCCACGCAGGCCCGGCCTGCCGCGTGAAGGAGGGGGGAGATCGGGGGGAGATCGGGGGGGAGATCGGGGGGGAGATCGCGTGGGAGGGCACGCGAGATCACGCGAGAAGGGTAGTAGAGGGCGCGGGAGAGCGCGGGAGAGCGCGGGAGAGCGCGGGAGGTCGCGGGAGATCGCGGGAGATCGCGCGAGATCGCGACCACGCCTGCTCGAGGTCGAGCAGCAGCGTCGCGCGTTCGGCGGGGCCGGCGCGCAAGTCTGAGCAGTGCAGCGAGGCCCGTCCCGCGACGAGCAGCGTCCTCGGGTGCTCGCCGAACTCGGCGCTGCCCCAGCGAAGCGACGCGTCCGGCGGGGCCCTCCAGCGCGCCAGCTCGGCCTGCGGGCGGTCGGGGGATGCTCGGAGGAGCTGCTAGGTGCACCGGCCTCTCCAGCGCGCCAGACTGACGCGGCAGTGTCAGCGGGCAACGCGCCTTGTGTGTGTGTGTGTCTGTGTGCCGCTCCAGTGCGTCTCCCCGCCTCGCTGCCATCCACCCGTACCGCCTGGCGGTGTCCAACCGCCGGCCAGAACCGTGCTTTCCACCTCTCCAACTATCTAGATTGACCTGCCACGGCAGCCGCGCCGCCAAGCGCGGCTCCCTCCAGCCTGCGGTTCTGCCCGCCGGCGACGCAGACAGCGCCGCGGCGGCGGGCGGCAGCCGCTCGAGCCGCAGCACACTGAGGTGCCTACACAGGGAGGGCGGGGGACGGGTGTCGGTGCTCCATCTTGGTGTATCCGCCCGGAGCTGCAGCGCGCGGCGGCGCCCAGTCTCGAGAAGCGCAACCGCCTCGCCGGGCAGGCGCGGGTTGAGGGCGGCGTGCAGCACTCGACTCCCGAACGTGCTCACCGCTGCGCACGAGAGCGCGGCGTCGCTCGAGCCGCCGCCGCCACCGCCACCGCCGCCGCCGCCGCCGCCGCCGGCCGGCTGCACCCGCACGAAATGGAGCCAGTTGTGGCTCCGCGCGAGGCCGAGGCCGGTGCAGGCGCCGAGCGGCGCGACCGCCACTTGCCGAATCCGCCGGCCGGCGGGCAGGCTGAAGCCGCCGAGGCAGCGGCAGCCGCCCAGCCGATCTAGGCCGAGAAGCGCCAGCGAGTCGAGGCCTCCGCCCGACGCACTCAGCAGCAGCGCTCCTCCGCCGTCGCTCGGCGGAGCAAAGGCGCGGCAGCTGGCGACGCAATTCCCCGCAAACGCGTCCCAGCGCGCCTCAGCGGCCGCCGCCTCCCTCTCGTCGGCGACGAGCTCATCGACAAGGCTCGGCGGCGCGGCTGCGCCGGCGTCGGTCAGGCCCTGCAGCATGCGCTCGCGGTCGCCCGGTGGCGTCGCCGAGTCGCCGGCGCGCGCCGCGGCCGAACGCGCGAGCAGCCGCGATTGGCCGTGGACCACCGACACGCCGCGGCGGTCCTCGCCGGCGCCGGCGATTGCGCCGGCGGCGTCTGCCGCGGGCGGCCGCCCGAGCGGGCAGCGCACATACGGCAGCAGCGTGTGCGGGTTCTCGTGCAGCGGGAGCTCGGCGTGCGCGGCGGACCATGCGTCGCTCTCGGAGGTGTACGACCGCCCGATGGGCTTGCGGTAGCGGCGTGGCGCGGAGCCTGCCATGCCGCTGGTAAGAAAGAAAAGAAGAACGAACTCCGTTCTTTGTTTTTGAAATTCTTACAAAGCTTTTCTCTCTCTCTCTCCTCACTCATCTCTCGCTCTCTCTCTCTCTCTCTCTCTCTCTCTCTCTCTCTCTCTCTCTCTCTCTCTCTCTCTCTCTCTCTCTCTCTCTCTCTCTCTCTCTCTCTCTCTCTCTCTCTTTCTCTCTCTCTCTCTCTGACATTATAAACTACCGAAGTGCCTGCGTGAGGTTTTTGCAGATCTCTTCGGACCTTACGCCGCTCGAGCGCCTTCCCTCGACCGAGTGGCTTGCGGTTCGAAAGTCCAGCCTCGTTAGCTTAGTGGCAGAGCGTAGCACTTGTAATGCTAAGGTCGGGGGTTCGATCCCCTCACGAGGCTTTTTAGCCCCTGCTTGCGCTCTCCTAGTTCTCCTGCTCCTGACAAAAGGGACAGCGACAGGTTCGCAGCACTGTCACTGGGTGGACTCCCTATTCCACTGGCGATCTCTCTCGACTAGCGACCTTCCTCCGGCTTCTCACAGTCTCTCACTATCACGGGCACACTGACAGAGGCGGCCAAGGCTCACGCCGTGCTGGGTGGCAGGGGCGGTGATAGGAGTCTCCCACTCTGTGGGCTTCGCTAGAGGTGCTTGAAGGGGAAAGGGGAAGGGGCTGTGTGTCTGTGCATGTGTGTGTGTGTGTGTGCATGTGCATGTGTGTGTGTGTGTGTGTGTGTGTGTGTGTGTGTGTGTGTGTGTGTGCATGTGTGTGTGTGTGTGTGTGTGTGCGTGTGTGTGTGTGTGTGTGTGTGCGCGCGCGTGTGTGTGTGTGAGTGTGTGTGTGCGGGCGCTGTGCAAGCCGCCCTGAACGACCACAATGATGAGCGCGCCCGAGCACCGAAGCGCCGCGAGCGCCGGCGAGCACCGCCGCCCGCGCCTTGGTCTTATAAATAAATAGAGCAGTCATCTCCAGGGAGAGATGGGCGACGCACATGAACACAGAGGGACAGTGCGCACCCCGCCCCGCTCGCAGGGCGTGCATCACACAGGTGGACTGTGTGACTCCTCGGGTTTCTGGGACTCAGAGGTGTGCTAGTCGCTATTCTCCGACAATTCCGACATGTCTGACGGGCAGTTCGGGCTCGAGCGGTCGCGGTCGCGGCCAGCGTGTGAGGCCTGGCTAGGGTTGCCGGGCGAGAGCTCGACGCCTCGACCCACGCGCCGGAGCGCGCGTGGTGCTTGAGCAGCCGGGCGGTCGCCGCAGCCACCTCGAAGGGTAGCTCGTCGAGCCACTCGCCGAATGTGCCCTCGTCCTGCGCCGCAGCGAGGAATTGCTCAAAAAAAGAAAAGAGGTAAAATTCTTTTGCCGGCGCGCTTTTCGCGCATTTTCATCGCTCGGCTGCACTTCATCCCTTTCCCTCATGGGCAACCTCGTCAGCAGCAAGCAGGAATCGCCTCCGCCGCTGCCTCGCGTCATCTCGTCTTCGAGCTGGGAGCTCCGAGCGCGCCCAAACGGCCTTGTCTCCGTCGACGACTTTGCGCTGCAGGAGCAGATCGAGATCGACACCGAGCTGGACGAGGTGCCGGCTCTCCCACTCCAGCCCTGCATTCGCTCGCAAATCCGCCTTCGCCCGCCTCCGCGTCGCAAGAGGTCACTCTCTTCGCCGCAGGGCGAGGCGCTGGTCCAGGTGGAGATGCTCTCGGTCGATGCCTTTCTGCGCACGATGCTGGACGAGAAGGCGTACCACGGCGCAATCTCCCTCGGCGACACGCTCCCCGCCGTCGGCTACGGTCGCGTCATCGCCTCGGCCTCTCCCAAGGCAAAGTCTCTCCCTCCTCTCTCTCACCCACTCGCTCGCTCGTTCTCAGTCACTCGCTCCCACTCACCTCGTCCCCTCTTGTGCGTCCAGCTCCGGCCCGGCTCGCGCGTGATGGGCATGCTCGTCGGCCTAGATGCGCAACACAGATCCGCGTCGTCCGCCTCGCTCTCGAGAGGAGACGTACTCCGCTGTACTCAGCGGTGATAACTGCCCGTGTAGTCACTGCCGCGTCTTCACTCGGGAGTGTTCATGCAGGCTCGGCGCGTGCACGGTCGCCAAGCTGAGCGCCGAGCAGGCGGCGATGCTGATGCCGATGATCTCGCTGCCGGGCGTGCCCCCCACCGCCTTTCTCGGCATCCTCGGGATCACGAGCGGCATCACCGCCTGGGTCGGGGTGCACGCCGTCGCACGGCCGCCCCGCCGCGGCGAGACGGCGCTGGTGAGCGGAGCGACGGGCGCGACGGGCAGCGTGGCGGCGCAGCTGGCAAAGGTGGCGGGTGCGCGCACCATCGGCGTCGCCGGGGGCCCCGCCAAGGCGGCCTGCTGCACCGGCACTCTCGGGCTCCGGCACTTCCTCGACCTTTCCTCGACCTTCCCCGGACCTTTCCCAGGCGGCCTACTGCACCAGCGCTCTCGGGCTGGCGGGCTGCGTCGACTACAAGGCGGAGCGGCCGGCGGGCGAGCTCGACGCCCGGGCGGGGTCGCTCCCTCGACCTTTCCGGGACCTTTCCTCGACCCTTCCTAGGCGAGCAGCTCGACGAGCTCTGCCCGGACGGGATCGACTTCTACTTCGACACGGTGGGCAGAGACGCCGGACGCCGATCCCGAACTGGCACTCGAGACGACGCAGATCTGTCGCACGAGATTAGGTGGGCGGCCCGCTCCTCGACGAGGTGCTGAAGCGGCTCAACCGCGGCGGGCGCGTCGTCATCTGCGGCGCGTCGTCGCAGTACAACGGCAACCTCAACGTGGGCACCGTGCGTGGCCCGAGCGAGTGCCTCCAGCCGGCGGAGCGCGGCGGCGGCGATTACTTCATCACTTACTCGAGTGGATGATGAATTAGGTACCTCAAGCTGGCGGAGCGCGGCGCTAGCATGGTCGGCTACAATGTGCTCTTTTACATGCACAAGCTGCCGTTCGCCATCCTGCACTTGCTCTGGCTCCGCTGGCGGCGCAAGGTGGCGCTCGCCGAGCAGGCACCGCATCAGCAATGAATCTGCATGGAGAGATGGGCAGTATGAAGAGTAGCTTTTTGCGACCCGGCAGCGGCAGCACCTCACGAGTCAGTGACGAATCATCAGGTCGAGCGCGGCATCGGCGGCTTTGGTCCGGCGATGGTCAAGATGTTCACCGGAGGCCACATCGGCAAGTTGCTCGTCGAGGTGGCGGAGGGCGGCGAGGCCGCGGTTTCGGCCGTCGGCGCCACGCCGACGCAGGCAAAGGCGGTCAAGCTCGCGTGAGAGGTTTGCCCGGTTTGGGGCACCGTCGATTGGGCGGTTGGCAAAACCCCACCCGGCCCCTCCCGAGTATTGGTCTACCGGGCAGTACATAACGGTATGTGTGGTATTGAGTCGGCGCGCGAGAGATTCACGCGCGCAGCTGCAGGGGCCACATGTTTTTTTCGTGTTAGTTAATTTACCCGCGTGCTGGCGAATCAGGAAAGTGGAAAGGCGGCCGGAGGGGGAGCGGTCGGGCTGGGGCGTGGGGGTGGGGGGAGCGCGGAGATCAGATGCCACTCTCGAAAAACAACATTGTGGTCGCAGGTGTCGGGACTGCGACTGGCGCGAGGAAGAGAAGTTCGTTCAAGAGGGGGTCGTCGCTCCTGGGCTCGAGAGCTGTGTGTATTGGTTGAGTGAGTTTGTTGCTTTGTTCCCGCCATGATGCATGACGCATGAGCGCGTCGATCCGAGCGGCCCACAACACCGTTGATGCTCTTTTTTGTGTCTCGCGCCTTGCGGGGGGGGAGCGGAAAGGAGGAACCTTCCCAAGAGCACCACTCTTGGAGCACCTTTTTGATAGATAGAGAAAGAAAGCGAACGACTGGGCTTGTCTCCGGCGGCCCGCTTAAAGGGCTCCTTGCCTAGGTATAATGTTCTGAAGGGTAGCGCCGAGCTATGTTCGTCGCGTTCGGTCTCGTTGCACGTGCTCTCTTTGATGCTGTCTTGGCGTTGTCGTCGCGTCCTCTCCCGTCTCCCCCGTTCGTCGTGCCCCGTCGATTCGATCGTACGTCCATTTGTCTTCGCCCTTTGTGGGGGGCTGCGGGCTGGGCGCGACCTGGGGGTAGTCTGTGTTCTCGAGTGGTCTGGCGCGCGGCGCTCTGAGTGAGGCAGCCTGCACAGCTCCTGCTAATCTCAGAAGTTAAGAAAACCAGCTTTTAATATTTAATAGTAGATCCCTATCGAGGGGAATCCACACGCCGCGCGCGCACACACCGGTAGATAGCTACAACCGCTTAGTTAGTTAGTTAGGAAGGTGAAGAACAGCCAGGCTCGGACTGACCGGTGACCGACCGTCACGCTCAGAGTCACGGCCGCCGCGATCTCGTGACACGTGTCAACCACGTTTCCCCTGCACCTGTGCAACGCGACGATGCTGCGAGCACCCCACCCCGCCGCCGCCGACCCGCGTCCGACGCGGACCACCGGGGCGCCGCCCGTCCGCCGTGTCCTGCTCTTTAGCGTGGGCAACGGCCTGCACAACCAGCTGATGTCCCTTGTCGATGGCATGGTCGTGGCGCGGCGGTACCGCTATGAGGCCGTGCTGCCGACGATGTGGGGCGGCATGGGCGTCAGGGCAGAGAACCGGTCTCAGCCCCTCGGCTTTGAGCAGCTGTACGACGCTCCGCATTTCGCAGCCTGTCTGCTGCGCGCTGCTCGTCTCCGAGTCCTCTCGGAGCTGCCCTCGGGCTACATTGCGCGCCGAATCAATGCCACGCGGCTGACGGGGCGCAAGGTGAACGACCATGCAAATGGCAACCTGGCCGCCTTTGAGCAGGCGCTCGCGGCGGCGAGTCAGCCTCTCCCCGCGGCGGGAGTCGCGGTCGACATCGGTCGCTTCTACGCGAGGTGGTGGTACGCTCCGGACGACGCCGAGGGCTTTGCGAGCCGGCGCGTGGTCTTGGGGTGCCTGAGGCCGGCGCAGAGCGTCGCCAGCGCGGTGTCCAAGGTGCTGTCGGGGCTGCGCGCGCGGTTTCCCTTGGGCTACACCACCATCCACCCGAGGCTCGAGCCCGACTGGCGCGCGCACTGCGCGGCGCACCCGTTGCACGACTGTCTGGTGGATGAGGCGGAGTGGGCCTCGCGGCTGAGCAGGCGCCGGTCGCTGGGGCCTGGGCCCGGGGCGTCGGCGCTCTACGTAGTGGGCGGCGCGAGGTACGACCCACGGCCGTTCCGCGCGCGCAACCTTAGCTCCGTCAGCAAGTACGACTTTGTCTCGCGCGAGGACCTCGTGCCCTTGCGGTACGCCTCGTCGCTCGCGGCCGTCGACTTCTTCGTCGCGCTGGAGGCGGACATGGCGTACGGCTACATGTGGTCGTCCATGGACGTGATCCTCTTCGAGGCGCGACGGTACGCCTGCCGGCCGATGGAGCCGATCCATCTCCTTCGAGGCGATTGGGTGAGGGTCGTCTCCAAGTGGACCCGCTCCTACTTTTACTATGGACTCGACGACGCGCTTCGCCACCTTGGGCGGGCGCCGGCCTGCCGGCCTCGGCCCGGTGGACACGGCGGGGCGCGAGGCCGCCGGTTAAGAGCCGGGCACTCTCGGGATGTGCCACAATCTCGCCAGGGTCTCTCGAGTACGCGTTGAAAAAATAGGGGTCAGAACCAGCCCTGTGTCTGGACGATTTTTTGCGCTATCTCCCCGTATCTCCCTGCGACGGTGTATCAGTCGCCTTATGCCACCGTTGCGTATCAGTCGCCTTATGCCACCGTTGCATATCCGGATATGCAACGGTGGCATAAGACGACTGATACATCGTCGCAAAACTGCATTCACTGGGTCGTGCGGAGATATATGCATCCGGTCTGGGTACCGGCGGATAGCAGGTGAACGCTAAGGTGGGTTTCGAACCAGTGACAACGCCCGTCTGGGGTTTTTGCGCCGAGTCGAACTGCGGGATTCGAACTCGAGACCCAATGCAGTTTTGCGACGGTGTATCAGTGGATATGCAACGGTGGCATAAGGCGACTGATACACCGTCTTGCATATCCGGATATGCAACGGTGGCATAAGGCGACTGATACACCGTCGCACTCCCTCTATCTCCGCGTATTTCCCTCTATCTCCCTGTATCTCCCCGTATCTCCCCGTATGCGTATCTACCCGTACAGCGACGGGCGATCTCGAGCGTAATCCCCGAGGTATCTGACTCCCGTGGTGGATCTCCGTATCTCCCGGTATCTCGGTATCTCCCGGTATCCCGCGGTATTCCGCGGTATCCCGCGGTATCTCGCCGCGGATACCGAAAAAATCGTCCAGACCAGGGGGATGTCATAAGTTTCATTGACCGGTCTCATTTTGACCCGTGACTGCGCCGCTGGTCTGGTGGGAGTCGGTACACAGTCAGAGTACAGAGAGAGAGAGAGAGAGAGAGAGAGAGAGAGAGAGAGAGAGAGAGAGAGAGAGAGAGAGAGAGAGAGAGAGAGAGAGAGAGAGAGAGAGAGAAAGGTTTCGTGTGCGTAACAACTAACATGCGTCATGCGTCATGAAACAACATGCGTAAATAGTAAACACCAGCCATGCCATGCAGTGTATGCCCATGCGCCAAAAGCCAACACCCAACAAGGAACGTCATAAGCATGAACTCCCGCCGCGCGCCTCAGGGGCGCGCCGTGTGTAGAAGTGCGCCGCCGCCCGGAAGCGAGGCGTGCACGGCGCCCCTACGTCCCTCAGACGGGCACCCAAGGCCACATGCCACCGCCAGCCGGCATCACGCAGCCGACGTAGCGAGCGCGCGTTTGCCAGAGGTTTACGCGGCGCGCTGGAAGAGCAAGTCGTACCGCTCGCCGCCGCGCCTATGCTGAGGGGCGCGCGGTAACGAAGGTGACCTTTTCCACGACAGCCTACTCGATATGTCCACCTCACACTATTTCGGATGTCTCCAGAGAACAGTGGCAGCATTCTCGCCGCCACCAGCTTCTCCACTCGCCGTCCACCCCGGGGCACCATCTCGGCTACGACTCCCGCGAATCCCGGTCGATCTCGTCTAATCTCGCGCCAGACGCCGTCGAGCCCGGCGCCCTCGAAGTGGACGCCCTTCTGCGCGCCGCTGTCTGCGTTGGACGCGAAGGAGAAGAAGCGGCCCTTGTGGCCGGCCCGCTCCTGCCGTGAGGGAGGGGAGGGGGGGGAGGGCGGGTTGGGCGTTGGGAGGGCGGCAGGAAAGGCAGGTAGGGTGAGACGTCTCTCCGCACACGCAAGTTGAGGATGCGAGGGAGGGAGCGGAGGGAGGTGGGGTAGGCCCGCATCGCTAAACCGTGCCACGCGACGGTGGGCGTGAGTAGGCGTTTGCGCGTCTCGCTGCAGGTGTCGGCGGCAATCTCGGGTGTGTGTGATCTCGGGTGTGTGTGATCTCGGGTGTGGGTGATCTCGGGTGTGGGTGATCTCGGGTGTGTGTGATCTCGGGTGTGATCTCGGGTGTGGGTGATCTCGGGTGGTCTCGAGCACACGCCTGAGCGAGCACCGCCTCAGCCACCATCTCCGCCGTGGCGGCCGAGAGCGTCCAGCCGAGATGCCTAAGAAGAAAGCCTCACGAGTCCACAAACGGGGACGGCGTCTGAAGACGTGCGGCTCCTGTCCAGCCGAGGTGGCCTGAAACAGTAATCGCGACGGGGGGACTGAAACGGAGAGGCGGGGGGACGCGGGCCGCACTCCAGCCGAGACGCCCGTGGCCAGTGTTGTAGAAGACGCCTAGTGGCAGGAAGTGCCCAGAGATCTCGGGCCCCGATCCACGCCCACTTACTAGCGACAGGAGACGCGGCTGAGATCCGTAGAAGCGGGAACAGACGCTCTCACTGAGGCAGAAAGGGAAGAGGGCAGAAGTGGGGAGGGGGCGGAGAGAACAGAAGGGAGGGAAAAAGGCGCCTGGCTGCGCGCCCGCCCCGACGCGCGGCACCTCATCAAGGAATGAATGAGACTGATTTCGCCACAGCCAGTCTCTCTTCAGTGACGCCCGCCGACGCGCACCATCGACGGCATCATCGGCCGGAGCCCGGCCCACGGGGTGACGCTCACCTACGGGAAGGCTCTTGGAAGGCTCCTGCAAGGCTCCTAGACCGAGCCCGGCCAGCAGAGCGACGCTCTCACGGTCGACAGGTCGGGAAAGTTGTCCTACGACGGCATCAAGTGACACGCGGAGTCAGGGGGATGCGGACCACTTCGGGGTGTGTGAGCCGGAATGTGTGTACGTACTAGTACGGGGTCTCGTGCACACGCGACAGAACGGGTTCAGCTCAGTGGAGTGAGTACGCATATGCCGCGGTTGGGATGTGCACGGATCTGTGTCCCGCATCTAGAAGTTGTCCTCGCACCAGCGGATCAGCGGGTCGATGCGGTCCTGGCCGAGGTCAGCCGAGGTCAGCCGAGGTCAGCTGAGGTCAGCCGAGGTCAGCCGAGGTACAGCCGAGGGTGCCGCGAGTCAGCTCTCCTGCCGGATGTCATAGTTGTACCCGTTAAACTCAGCCGTGCCGGCGATGCGGAAGCGGTCGCTCCTACTCGCAGCCGACCTCGCGTCAACCTCGCGCAATCTCGCGGCGTCCCCGCGACGACGCGGCCGCTCCCGAGCCGCGACGTGACGATCTTTGCCTTGTCGTCCAGCAGCGAGACCCACGGCGCCGCGCGCTGGCTCGCCTCGTCCTTCATGTTGACGGTGATCGAGTAGCCCTTGACGGGGTAGACATTGACTCGGTCGCCTGGAGTCGCAGCGGGTCGAGATGCCCCCGACATCCGCCGAGGTTCTCCCGAGATTGACGGGGCGGTCGCCCAGCTGGGCCGCGAAGTCGCGCGAGCGGACGCCCGCGCAGACGACCACTCCGTCGAACGTCTCGCTCTGAGGGGCGCCGCTCTGCAGCACGGCAGGTGGCGTCAGGCGGGGTCTGCTCTCTCGGTGCACGGTGTCGTTGTCGGTCTGTGTGCGTCGGTCTGTGCTCGCGCGTGCGTGCGCGCGTGCGTGCGCGCGTGCGTGTTTGCGTGTGTGTGTGTGGTGAGAGAGGCCCTGAAGCGCGACCTACCCCTAGGGAGGCGTGAGAGCGACGACAGCTCGAGTCGTCTCGAGCCATCTCGGGCAATCCCAGGCCATCCCAGGCGATCTCGTGGGATCTCGTGGGATCTCGCAGGATCTCGCGGGATCTCGTGGGATCTCACCTCCCCCTCGCCGCGCGCGAGGACGACGTCGACGCCTCCAGCGTGGTGTGAGAGGCGCTCGACGGCCGTGCCGAGCTCGAAGTTGACGCCCTGCTCCTCGATGCCTACTCTCGGGGAGTGTCGGCGGGTGGGCAGGGGAGGAAGGCGGAAGTCCACCTCCCGTGCTTCTCGGTGCCGGTGGCCAGGCCGACGGTGTACCGGTGGATGTCGCCGGTCTGCGCGCGGGGACGTGGCCAGTAGGTAGGGCAGCTGAGGTAGGGCCGCAGAGCGCAGCCGCAGCAATAGCATGGGGGAGGTGGGCTTGGTAGGTTGGTGTGGGCCGGCTCGGGCGTCTCGGGCGGAGGGGCGTGGTCGCACAAAGTCGGAGGGCGTGAAGAAGCCGCCGACAAAGGCGCTGCTCTTGGTGGCGAGCGCGGGCTCGAGCTGGGCGATCTCCTGCGAGGGCGGCGGGGCGAGGTGAGTGTGGAGGTGAGGGAGGTGGAGGTGAGGGAGGTGGAGGTGAGGGAGGTGGAGGTGAGGGAGGTGGAGGCCTGGTGGAGGCGAGGGAGGCGGCGGCGAGGATGCTGGCGTCGAGGTGGTGGCGCTGGTGGCGGTGCTGGAGAGGCGGGGCTAGAGAGGGGGGCAATCGGAGGCAGAGCTCAAGAGAGGAGAGGTCAAGAGAGTGTGGCCAGGGCGGCCTCCGGGCTGACGGCGTGCCGCTCGAGACCGCCTTCGAGGTACAGCTTGGTCACCTCCGTGGCGTGCGCAAACTCCTTTGGGTCCTGAGTGCGAGAGACAATGGGAGAGAGAGTGGGAGGGAGAGTGCGAGGGTGCGAGGGAGAGTGCGACTGACCTCGTACACGTGGAGGATGCCGCGGTCCTCGCGGTTGAAGTCGAAGCCGTACGCCTCGGCGTGCTGTATCAGGAGCTCGCGCGCTGTGATGGCGAGCTTGACCGTGTCGATCGTGTTCGATCGATAGTTGGGTATCTGCGACACAAACTCGCTCATCCAGGAGAGCTTGTGCCACGACGGAGTCGGGTTCACGAGCAGCGGCGCGTCGCGCTGCGTCATCCACTTGATGCCCTTCAGGAGGGTGCTCCACGAGTTCCACACCTCGGCGTTGGATGCCGACAGCTGCCCGCCGTTGGCAAACGACGTCTCCATGGCCGCATAGCGGTGCCGGTCAAAGACGGTGACCTCAAATCCGCGAGCGAGGAGGGCCCGGGCAGTGGTGACACCTGTGATCCCAGAGCCGATGACGGCGATGCGCCGCATGTTGTGCCCAGCCGCGCACGGAGTTCTCCACGACATTGAGCAGTCGCGCCAAGCTTCCCAGGATGCAATTAATTGTTGTAATTCGTGGCTCGCTGAGAGACCCCTTGAATTTTAATTTGCATGAAACATGGACACCCTCCCCGCACTCCCCCCCCCCACCCCCCCTCTCGACACCCCATGCCTCTCGCCTTTCTTCACATCAGGCCGGCCAACCTGCAGCCAGCGGCCGAGGCGGTCGGAGGTGGCCAGGCTGGTCCTCAAGGCGGCGGAGTGGTCGCCGCAGTCGCACGAGCTCTTCCCGGAGGCGGCTCGCAAGCGGGCGGTCGAGGTGATGTGGCTGGGCTACCTGATCGCGTGGGACGAGGAGCGCTTCGAGGGCTGCGAGGGAGCGGCTCCGGAGCTGGCGGACGGACGTCTGGCGCGGCTTTGTGCTGCCAAAGGTTGCACGCGCTGGGCTGCTTCTCCTCCCTCTCCATTGCGCATTTTGGCTCCGGCACCACCGTCAAGCCGCTCGCGAGCCTAGCGGGCGCGCTCGACTGGTCGTGCGTCCACCTCTTCTTTGGAAACGAGCGGACAGAGGGCGAGGCTGCGGGCAAGTGCTGGGGGAGAGGAGCTGATTGCGACGTGCGGCGTGAGGCAGTCGCGCCAAGCTTCCCAGGATGCAATTGTGGTAATTCGTAGCTCGCGTGAGGGTCCCCTTATAATTTTAATTTGCATGAAACATACACATTGGGCTAAACCCCACCTGGCTTCCTCCCGCTAAATACAAAGGGCGCGACAAGTTCTCTCTTGCACCTCGAAGCGCAGGATTCCAACTTTTTGCGGGGTGAGGTATGGTAGGGTCGGCGCCAAAAGGGTGGGGGGGTATGGTCCTGGCCGCCGGAGGCGGCCTGCTCGACGGGTGGGGGGGTATGGTCAATCGCTGGAGCGGCCACGTTACAACAGGGTTCGAACCCAGTACACAGCCGCCGTACACAGCCGCGGACACGATGCCGACTCACGGCGGCCCCGGCCGCTTCGATACTGTCGCGGGCCTTCTCGCCGCGACGCCGCCTCAACTTCGGCTCCTGGACAGCTCGCTGCCCGACGACGCCGAGCGCGCCGCTGTGCGCAGCTGCTGCGCTGGTACGCTTGCGTCTTGCATCGCACAGCTCGACGCTGCGATTGCACCGCATGCCGTCCGCATGATGGACGGGAGGCTTCCGACAAGCGACGCTTTCCGTGGCGACGACCACGATCTCAGCAAGCTGAAGCCGCTCAAAACTGTCGCCACGATGGTCCTGCAGGACGGACCGAGCTCTATCGCGAGGCCTGCGCGAGTCTCGTCCACGCGCGCTCCACCTTCTTCTCGGACCTCAACGCGGCGCTCGATGCCGATGTCTTTGATTCTGCCTTTCGATTCAAATCGCCGTCGTGGCTCGCGAAGCGCGCGGGGCATGAGCTGTTGGCGCGCGTACCGCTCGTGCGCGTGCCTTTGGCCAGCTATGGCGCGGAGGGCGGCGTGCGATGGCGGAGGCGGAGGTGGCGCCAGCGGAGGCGGCGGAGGCGGAGGCCGTTCCAGCGGAGGTGACCATGGTTCCAGCGGAGGTGACCATGGTGGAGGCGGCGCCGGCGGAGACCGCGCCCGCGCCCGCGCCCGAGGTGACCATGGCGGAGGCGGCGCCGGCGGAGACCGCGCCCGCGCCCGCGCCCGCGCTCGCACCGGCCTGCGCCCGCGCCTGCGCCCGCGCCTGCGCCGGCACGCAAGGCCCTGGCGGCCTTTGCGGACATGCTCTGAGGGGTGAGCACGATTGCCGGCGGGTCACCTCGCGCAGACTGCATCGCGCGAACACGTGCCGCACGACCGGACGGCCTAACACGACGGTTACTGTCCCCCCCCGCCCGACGCAATCGCCGGATGGGAGGTAAGGTCCTCATCCTCACAGGGGTCGTCCTGTGCGCGTGGGGGGGTATGGTCGCGGCGCCAGGGCGCCGACGCTACCATACCATACCCCGCAAAAAGTCCGAACCCAGAAAGGCTGCCAACCTCCTCTCCCATCTGGCGCTTGCGTCGGGCAGCGTGGGCGCGGCATCCGGGACGGATGCGGGCCCTTCTCTCGCGGGATCGCTGGGAGCCGCTCGGCTCCCCACGCGCCGCCGAGCTGCGATGGCGCCACCGCAACGGCTGCCCCTCCTCGGCTCCCGCCCCGGGGCTGCCGAGATAGGTGCCCCGAGCCACCGTTTGCAACATCCGCGCGGAACGGCGGTGCTGCCGACGCCCCCCCGACCGGCAAACACCATGGGAAGGGCGGTGGTGAACGCTCCACCTCAGAAATGTCGTCGTCGTCGCGCAGTTCCCTTAAGTGACGTTCGGCGGCCGGCGGCGGCTGGCGCCAACAATCCGGATTTTCGTCTCTCGACGCGAAGATATGGTCCCGAGTCTCACTACTCGCCCCTCCATCCTGTAGGTCCGGACCTTGCCTGCTCAGTAGCCGCGATGAATCGTCGCCCTCATCGTCCGCGGTCATCCTTTCAGCCTCAAACGGGCCAAACGACTGTCTCGCCATCACCCATCTCGCCTCTCACGGTCGCGTCACACCTTCCCTCGTGCCGCGAGTAGGCGCGTGAGTGATGGCCCTGCCGCCAGGTACACGGCTACACCTCGGGACGCCGTGCTGAGACGGGTAGAGCCGCCCCGCGGGAGCAAAAGCCGCCTCGCGCGCCTCAGCCCGCCGGGCCCCTCGGCGGCCAGTGTGGGGTGGATACGGCGGTGATAAACCCCTCTGACAGCAGCGCCTCACGGCGTGGGCTGCGAGGTCACTCGGGGTGACCCAGGGGGCGGCGGGGGAGCAATCTCCCGCCGGAGCAGCGGGTGATATTCCCGCTACTCGCTCGAGTTTGAGGTGCGCCGCGCCTCGCCTGTGTTGCCTTCCCGGCCGCCCCAGCCGCCCTCACCGTTCCTCATCCCCTCCCCCACCCCCTCCCCCTCAGGCTAGGCCCTCGCCACCGCCGCTGCCGCTGTCTCCGCCACAGCCGCCGCCGTTTCCCTCCCCCCCACCCCCTCCGACGCCGTCGCCTCCGCTGCTCCCGCCACCACCGCCGGCCGCCTCAGCTCTCCCTCGCCCACCTCCCACACACCACCAACGCCCTCCGCGCGTCCCCGCACGCCGCCTCCGCGCCCCCACGCCCCCACGACGACCTCCCGCCCCGCCCTCCCCGCGTCTCAGACCCTTGGCCGTGCTCCGCTCGGGGCGACTCGGCGCCGCCATCGCGAGCACGCCGCCCTCGCCGCCGCCACCTTCCCCCCCGCCGCCATCCCCACCGCCGC